AACTTCTTGTTGATTGCAGTAATAAGAGGCGAATCGATTGACGTGTAAAGTCATTTCTTAAACAAGTGTTGTTGGCGCAAATGTTGCGGATGTTGCTACTAAGCGTGAACCTTACCACGCTGGCGGCAACTCATCACCCATCGTCGACGTTCAACCTTTATTGCGGTGAGCCGTAATCAAGGCTCTGTGGTTTACGGCAATCAGGGTGTGCTGATCGTAATGCTTGTGTTTGGTTTACGGTTATAAGCCGTAAACACTGCCTGTCTAAATGGTGACTACTCCTTAAGAGTCGCATGCATATATCCTAAGCCCACGAAATCTAGCTTTCAAATTCCCACTCCTCTTCTTAGTCCTACTTCAAGCTCCTTTTCATTCCTTAATCATAAAGACAAGAACTTCACGTAAACAATGATAAAATAATGACCATGATAATGTCAAAAAAATTAGTCTTATGATTTCCATCTATATTAACCCATTGCCTTACATGTGGATGTACTTTGATAACGACAATACTGCAGCCGATTGGCTTTCGCAGAACGAGCCCGCATTTGACTCATTCGAAACTTACCGTGGTTGTCCTTCACGCGGATGATTTGGCTGGCAAAAAAGGCGTCAAAAGTATACCTGTACCATGGTACACTCGGTTGTCCTTTTACATAAAAGTTGCGGAAATATCTAATGGGGGAGCAATCCACAGCTACACCCCCCATAATATTATATTTACATTAACACGCTCCGTCTTCTGGCAAATTCAGACACGCCCTCGATTAAGATGTTCGAGCTCATCGCACACAAACGAGCTATTTCCACAAATCTGTTCACACTTAAAGACCGGTCTTAGCGCAGAAAAGTCTTACTCCTCATTTCTGTCAAAGTCACCATCCTTTTTGGTCTCGATGTATACGTTTGGCTCAGCGCCGTGCCGTATCGTTACCTTCCATTTCGAATGGTGTTGACACAACCCTGGCATGAGTGGAAGGTCTGATACATTGTTAGTCTCCACAGACGACCAAGTGAGCCTTGTACCATTCATATCGTTAT